CCTCCCTGGTTCTAACAGAACCAGGGTCCTGGGCCGGGTACACTGAGCGCCTCGCAGTGACCACAAGGTCTCTCCATCCCGGCTCTGGGGAGGCGATCGCAGCTGGAACCTGGTCCCCCACCAAAGACCACACTGGCAGCTCCTGCGTGTTGTGTCCGGAGAGAGAAGATGCAGCAAAACCTCCACGTGGCTGCTGACAGCCAGCAGCGCCAGCCGGCAGCCCTCCCTGGCCTCCCTCGCTGGGCCTGAACAAGCAGGCACTTGTTTGCCTGTCCTCTCCTACCCAGCAGAGCTGGCTGGCACGTTAACCCTTCCCTTCCCTCCCCATCTCTGGCGGGTGGGAGGTCTTCAGACAAGCGAAATTGGGGTGCATTGGAACTGCAACCCAAATTCACAGATTACATAGGAGACTGGGAATAATAATCATGTGTGAAACACTTCCAGGCAATGAACTCAAAATGGTGAACTAGTGCTGCTGAAGGGCTTGATAGTATAGGAAAACATATTTTGGGCAGGGGATTTAATAACACCCTTTAACAAAGAGGGAGAGGCTGAGATCTGAGTTCCACTGTCATGAAATTTAGACAGAGGGATCATTAACTTTATTTTTAGGCTTGGCTGAGTAATCAGGACTTTCAAAGATGTGCCTTCTCTGCTTCACTTGTTTTAGGAGGGGCTGTGCCAGCATAGCTGGGATCAAAAGTGGATTATCAGAAGCAGCACCTCTCTTGTCACTTCCAGGGATGTACTTCTGTGACCGGCTGATGAGCCGGAGTGTTTCATCTGCCTTTTCCTACAGCTCAGGGCAGCCACATTGCCAGGTGGGAGAACACGGCTGCTGGAAGAGCCCAGATCTTCCTCCGAGATAACCCTCTTCTTCCTCCCTTGCTCCTGCTCCCTCGCCCCTGCTCTCTCACCCATGCTCTGGTTTGCAGCACCCTGGCTCTGGCCTTCCCACTGAAAGGACTTTCTGGCAGCTGTAGCTGGAAACCAAAGCATGGGCCACTTTTGCCGAGGAATTCAGCATGCCTGCTGCAAGGGGCCGGCAGCGCCAGCGAACAGGGGTTGGATTGGGGGTCCCTGGGGGGTTCAGGTGGTAAAGTTGCTGCAAACGGGGCCATCTCCTTCGCCTGCTCCCGCATGGAGCAAGCTGGTGCCACACAGAGATGGCCTTACTTGCCGCTACGACCGATCGGATGTTCGAAAGGCAGTTGCGTGGGGAAGCGAACATCAGTTGAAGTGAGATTTGGTCCGGGGATTTCCCCCGTCTCCTTTCACTTCCCCCCAGCTGCGCAAGGGCGGGGGAAAGCAGGGACGCTGGCTCTTGCAAGAGGAAAATTCCCCCTCGCTGAGGCTGATGAACCCGCCTGATGTGGTGGGCAGGCCTGCCGGTATTACGTGTTGGGCTGCATGCACACCCATCAGCCGCGGTCTCTGGCAAGAGGCCCTGGCTGGAATTAACCTGCAGTAACCCCGCAGTGCAGGGGCAGCCTTGGCGAGGCGTGCCTGCCTGGCTGCCGTGGAGTATGACAGCATTATAATCTGTTCATTCACAGCGCTTAAAGAGCCAGAGGTTTTTTCCCTGGCTCTCCTGGAAGGGAGGAGGGTTTGGAAACGGTGCCCGATGGGGCACTGCGTGCTTTACCAATCCCAGTGTGCCATGTCATCACTCCAACAAGTTTTAAAGTAACATTTTTATTATGAACAAATAAAATTCCAGATCAGCACAACCAGATGTCTGTTTCCATATTAGTAGAAATTATTTCAAAAAGTTTTTTTTTCTATTCCAGTACACAAAACAGAGATACTACTATGCAGAAATCCCTAAGCTGTGAAAAAACGTATCCTACTCACATTTCAACAGTGACAGAGCTTAGACAATGTGCAGATTCAACTTTCCAGTCCTTCCCTGAACACCCAACACTTGGACATCTGCTCTTCACAATACCAGCGGGGCTGGGAATGGTTTTGGAAAAGAAACCAGTCCATGCTTCTGCCAGCAGCGGTGTGCGTGTGGTATCTATGCCTCCCTGCTCCATGCTTGGCAGAGCGCCTCACCACAGCCTGGAAGGCAGGGCGTAACCCCTGTAACAGATAGGGAAACTGAGGCACGGGAAGTTTTTACGTGACTTTATCCCAAATCACGCAGTGAGTGAGTAGCTAAGCTGGCAACAGGTCCCAAGAGAACGGCTGCTCTAGCCATGAGGTCCCACTGCTGCCTTCACTGCTTCCACCTCTCACAGACTCATTTAAGCTAAACATACAGACGACGTGTCCAGGATACAAACATGCCACCAAAAATATATATATTTATAGGTGTGTGTGTGTGTGTATATATATATCTCAAACAAAGTTCTACTTAAAGTGTTGTATCTGTTTCTTAATCTAACAAAAATTCTAACTCAAATACATTCAAAAATCACCTGCACCCACAGTTCAATGTAGGCAATTAAATAATTGAGAAACCCCTTGAATGTTCATAATTCGGAAAAAAAAAAAGAAGAAAAAATTACGGCAAATAGCTGTCAATACTCCTATGTATATTAAAGAAAGATTTAAGGCACCCAGAGATATTTGCCAATCTACCTTTAAAGTGACTGGGCAAACACCAGGACTGTTTGGTTACTGCTCCTCAGCTTCCACCCTAATTCCAGATTCTGGACCCGAATCAGCACTTGAAATTTGAAAGGAAGCCTTGATGTCAAACCCTGCTTCTCTGCTGAGAGGATGTGAAATATTGCAGCATGTCACGGCACGCTTCTCTACCATAGGATATGTCACACAACACCTTAAGGGCACAGGAGCAAGGAAATTATTCTCTTCACCTTCTCCCCTCCCCACACTCCTTTCTAATTACTGGCTGGAGCAAATTCATCTTCTCTGGAGACTTATATGAGTTAGAGGGATTTAGACTAGAGTGAAGTCAGCCTGCAATTACAGAGCTAACAGTGTTTCTCTTTTTTTGGAGGGGTTTTTCTTCTTTTTTTAAATGGTAGGATACAATTCTAGCCATAACCTGTTTTGCCCCAGCTAGCTCCCAGACAGTTGCAAGCCTCATAGCAGTAAGGATGCAGTCTCCTGGCACCAGAAGCTGAAGGGCTCCCTGCTCCATTCCTCCCTGTTGGCTCAAAACCTCAAAGGGTCCCATTGCTGAGCAATAAGAAGGCCATAGTGGTGGCAGGGAGGGGAAAGGAGAGGAGAAGGACTTTTTTTCTGAGTATCAAGCATGCTCTTGTTAAGGAGAACATCACAGAGCTGTCCTGGCTCCTGGTGAGTTTCACAGCAGCAGGAGAAAGCAAAGCTGCAGAGATTCGCTCCTGTGAAGCTTGCCTGGCTGCTACATGGCAATGCTGAGGTGAGGAAGTTGGCATCTGCTCCATCTCTGCCCTCCCTGGCCTGCCTGAATAAGGGAGATAACACTGCAAACCTCACTCCAACATCACCTCGTTCCAGCCACCTCTTGCACTTTCCTCCAGCTCCATTTGATGCATTTAAACAACAAAACCAATACTATTGCTACAACTAATAATAATAATAAAAATTAATAATGAGGAGAGTTAAGGGGGAAAAAAGCACATTCAGCCCAGCGAGGGGCGAGGGGCCATGATGTCCAGAAACTAACCCACTGCCTGAACTGGAGCTGCAGTCTCTGCAACTTGCAGGAAACACCACCCACAAGGACTTTTTTCCCCAACACACCCTCCAGCTGTGTGCCCACATTGGCTCGGTGATATAACTGACCTTTCTGCAGGCTCAGCCGCCTTCGCTGGCTGCCTCACCAGCGAAGGAGCGAGGTGGCTTGCTGAGGGGGCCAGGAGACAAGCTAAGGGACTAATGAGGAGCTGCTTTCGTCTCCCCTTCTGGCTCCCTCAGAGGAGCAGGGAATAGCAAACAACCCTGGTGGAGCCTGGCAAGGAAAGCCCGGAGGTGGCCCACACGGGCAGCAATGTCTCACCTTGGAGGTCTCGACTGCCTCAAGGCCCCCGTGGCAGCTGGCCCCACATCAGTGTTTCTCAGGCACTTGTTAATCGACCGAGCAGAGCCCCCAAGGATGGACAGACCTGCTTCCCGTGGACACCCTCACCCCTCCCTACACCTGCAGGTGCGCCCTTGCCCCGTCCCTATGCTCAGCACAGGATGCGGATCTGCAGGGCAGGCACAGACACCAGGATATCTGCCTGCCACCCAGCAGGGACCCTGTTTCTCCAGCACAGAAAGCATCTTAACTTAGCAGTGGAGCTTTGGTTTACATCCTTCTCTCATGCTCCGTTTTGGCAAAGTCCCACTTGCTGGCAAAAATCTCAGCGGCAGCAGTGAATAAAACCACCCCGAGCTGGTGCTGCCCCACAGCAGTCAGTGGCACATCGCTCCATCTGTCCCCGTCCTCACTGTGACTCTCCAAAGAGGCCGCAGAGCCTATAGCCAGGCTCTGCATTCAGTCTCTGGGGGCATGGGGCACAGTGCAGGGAGGGAGGCTGTGATGCCAGACAGAGGAGGTAATAAGGCCACCAAAGCTCCCCCTCCAGTGCCCGCTGCCACCACCAGACTCCCCCAGCTCCTGGTGGACCTAGCTGGAGCTCTGAGAGAGTCTGCGGGCTCTCCTCTTCCCAGCCAGAGAGACTGTGCGGTGGGGAGAACACTTCTCAACAGACATCTTGGAAAGAGACAACTCTCTTTCTGATGGCAAGGGAAGGGGATGGGGCTGCTTTTCCTGTGGAGAGCAGTTTAGCCAAGCCATGTCTGTCTGCAGCCCTTGAGAAAGGAGGAGGGACAGAGGAAGGACTTTTGGGGGGAAGGTGGTGGGGAGAGGGTGAATGACTTTGTCTCAACTCTTCAGCTGGCTGGTGCAGGCTTCCCTTAACTCCATGGTACATAGCCAGCTGCGATGGGCCTCCCCTGGCTGCTTCCTACTGGCTCCTCTACCAGGGAGAGTTGGGGACAATGTAAAGCGGGAGATGGGTCAGAGGGGCTGGAGAGAAAGAATGGAAAGGAAAAGGAGAGGAGGGAAAGGGGCAGCCTTGCTTTACAAAGGCAGAGTCCTAGATCTTAAATATATCATGTGAAATACAGCATGGGAGGGGATTAAAACTCATTATCTTAAGCAAACTGGTAGCATTATTCAGTAGTTAGTCAACAGAACATTAAACCTTTGTCCAGCGTGTTTGGAGGGGTCAGGAAGGGAGAAAGGGAGAAAAAAGGAGGAAGGAGAGGTGTGGGTGTGTGTGTGAAGGGGAGCAGGAACTCAGCCACTCTTGTGACTCCCATCTCCAGTTCGCATTTTCCGAGCCAGGATGACCTCCTTGGAGACCTTCTTGCGATCACTGGCCAGCCCCAGGAGGCACATGAGGTCGATGAAGGCTGTGGTTAAGTTGAAGTGCCAGCCAAACTCACTGGTGGAGTAGTCATAGGGGAAGGTGTGGTGGTAGTTGTGGAAGCCTTCTCCTGCAAAATGACCAAGGATAAAATGTTGCAGAGCTCTACAGGGTGGCTGCTTTACCTTGGCCCAAAGCACCACATTCCTGAAACAGGCTCTGGATTGAGTCCAGGCTCCTCTCAGCCCAATTTCACCTCTCCGCAATCTACCCCATCTCATTTGAGCATGGACCAGCACACCCAGGCTGGCCCAAATGAGGCAATGACAGTCATAGAGGACCTATGGTGCTTTAGAGGAAAATGAGCATGTGGCAAGGAACTGAGAAAGACCCTGGGAAAGACCCCTGCAGAACGACTGCACTAAAACACCACGGTAATCCTAATGGCTTTTCCTCTGTCACTACAAGAGCACTTCTAGTATCGGTTGAGCTACCAGCTAGACCTGCAGCAAGTCCCCAACAAGACAGGCCAATCAATACTCCTACAACACTAGCAGTCCTAATCCAAAGGGCATTTCCAGATGGGAATAATGCAGACAGACTTCTACAAAGTGATCTACCCCAGTCAGCCAGCCTGTGCTCTGGACACTGTCAACACTGGCTTCAGTGCTTACCCCTTCAATGACATCGCCTGGACTCCTGCTTTACCCTCTGAGTCTCTGCAGTTCAAACACCTCCCTACTAAAAATCCAGGAGCAGATCCTTCGGTGGTGGAAATCAGCACAGCCCCAGTGACGCACAGTGAGACAAACTAGCTGAGAATTTGGGCTTGGGAGAACAGATCACAGCAAATGCTGACAGTGGGATGTACTTTCCTAGGCCCCCAAAATTTCAGGAAAACACATGAGATGATCTGGCTTGTCATATTCTCAAGTACCCCCAAAATCACCAGCTGCCCTGAGAACATGTCCAAATGTGCATCTGCTGGTTTTCAAGTTGACAAATCTAAGACAGATAAGCAGAGACTGCAGCACACATTTTTCAGTCTGATGAACAGGGCAGAGAGACCTTCAAGCAGGGTAAATAAAATATTGCTATTGAGATAAGGAGGTGCTAAGTATAGCAGAGTCCTTTCCAGCCTGGAGAGAGGCTGGTGGGAACTGATAACCCCCTGCCCTTATGTACTCACCGGCCAGCCTGGGAAACACCCCCAGGTGCAAAGGCTGAAGGGGAAGGGTGCAGGAAGAAATGGGGACACCTGGATTCACAGAAATTCCTAGAAGCAGTTGCAGCCCCAAAGGGCAGTCCCCACTCTGCAGACTACCTGCAGCAAAAGACACGGATGCTGAACATACCTAGGGCCCCCAGGCTGACCAAGGGGTTCTCCCGTGGGTTGATGTACTGATCATATGGCCGGTTGCCAAACATGTGAGCAGCACTGTTCACTAGCCAAGTGGCATTGAGCCCTAAGGCGTAGCGCAGGATGGCTGGAATGAAGAAGCTGATGATGATGGATTCATCCCAGAAGTACCAGGGCACTACAGTGGGTAGTACGAAGCACAGCAACACCACCGAGGGCTTGTAGTACCTGGAAAGGAAGGGACCGGGAGGAAAGTGCTCAGTGGCAGAGGCATGACAGGAAGGGCTGGTTCAGTCCTCCCTTTGGAGGATTCACATTCAGCTATACAGGGAAAAATCAAGTGCAGAAATACCTCACCCCTGAGCCCTGCATCTTATGCCCTGGATGTGCAGAAGCCATGCCTGGAGACTCACAAGTCTTATTACTGGGCAGGAGACTCAAACTAAAGTCCTGCTCTCCCTGTCTCAATCTCACATGTGAACAAAGCAACGTCCCCATCATCTTGAGTCCAGATACCAGCTGCTGCTCGTGGCCTCATCTGCCATTTGCTTCTCAGCTATGTTCGTCCCCATGAAGGCAAGCCCACACTTGCAGAGTCCCACAGAAGGTACCTTCTCCATCTCCGGCCCAGCACTGCAACTCCTTGCAGACTTGGCCCTGCCTACCAATAGACCCCATCAAGAAGTGCAAGCAAGGGACATCTGCCCCACCAAATGAGTGAGCATGTGAGGTCTCTCACAGTAGACAGATGGGAGTAGAGGAAGCTGAACCACTCTGATGACCCACAAGAAAAGTCCCAGATACAAAAGGAGGGAAGCCATAAACCTTGCTTGGTTCATCTGGGACTAAACTAGGATACTCCTGAGTGAGGGTAGTTACCATACGGGTTCAGTCCCTCAACCCTGCAGCCCTGGTGACAGGCCCACCTCCTCTGGGGATCAGTCCAGTATAGCCACAGATAGCTGAGATATACCCCACCCAAGAGGCACCAGTGAATCAAGACTGTCCTTCCCAGTTACTGCCTCTCTCACATCCCCATTTCTAACTCCTCTTTCACCACACTGTTCCCAGGAGACTGATGGGAGATGAGCAGAGGCATGGCCTAAAGGTGTACCACAACATCTCCAAGGATGGCCTGGAGGCACCTGTGGGTGGGCTCTGAGCCAGCCAAAGCAGCAGCTGGGCTGTGGGCAGGCAGGAGTGGAGGTGCTTTGTGGTGGGTCTGTAGCATCTGCCGGTGGCTAGGTGCTGCAGGGTAGGTGGGCAAGAAAGCGGTGTGGGAGGGCTGGAGGTAGCACTAGCTCCTAAATACTTCCTATAGGAGAGGCACAGCTCATTTCTCACAGTTCATCCCACAGCAAAGCCTCAGGCCGACCAAAGACTCACATTTCTCATGATGCCCTCAATCCCCCCATGCTCCCTCAAAGGCGCTTGGGGTCCCCAACCCATTTGCAGGGTCCCTGCTCCATCCCACATGGCTCTGCATGGGGGCTGACCCCACCACTCACTTCCGCTGGAACATCACCACTTTGTCAGCCTTTAAGTCACTCAGGTCCAGCTTCTGGCCCTTCTCTATGACGTCCGGGTGCTTGCGCACTAGCAGCCAGCCGATGTGAGAGAAGAAGAAGCCCCGCTTGGCATTGTGTGGGTCCGCATCTGTCTCTGAGAACTTGTGATGGACACGGTGGTCCCGGACCCACTCATAGATGTCATTCTGCAAGGCAACAGGAGCGGAGACTTAGGGCCAGGGCTGGAGATGTTCCTTTCAAATTAACAAAAGGGCTTAAAACATTTAGACACTAAATCCCGTTGACCTGAACTTGTATTAGTCATTTTATCGTTCATTAGGGTTTGCGGGTTTTGGCTTTTAAAACAAAGGTTGTGTCGTCTTTGCTCAACCGCTTCAATTTTCTTTGAAATCTGCTTCTTTGGTGGGCTGTCTTTTCTTTTTTTTTTTTTTAATTGGCTAACTTCAGGCTTTGGTTTCCATATCCTCTACAGCATCACAGACTCTGATTGCTCAGCCCATTCCCCAACACCTGCAATAGCCAGCCCTCATTGGCCAGTCGGTGCCTCCTCCCTCACACGCTCAGCTCTTGTTGGTCACTTGTCCCCATCCCTGCACGGTGCCAGCTGGGATTGATCAACCTGCCCCTTCCCTTTGCCCTGACATTTTCCATGGGTCAACCTGCCTTGCTTTTCCCGGGATTGCCAAATCAGGTCTGTTTAACTTGGGGAAGAGGTTTCGTTAACTTTTTTTTTTCCCCCATTAGAAATCAGTCTTAAAATTAAGGCCCCTCTTTAGAAACAGAATAAACACACCATTTCAATGACAGTTATCAAAAACATCCTCCTTCAGCCCTATAACCATTATGTTTAAGCTGCAAAATCAATACTGTTTGGAAAATGTCAAAGCTTTCATAATTGGTTTTAAGAAAGGACTGTTTTAGCCACTTTTAAGAATAGATTTTAATGAGCCTGTGCTCATTCCTTTATACCAAGATTTCAGTTTGCTTAAAGCTATGTATTACACTGTCCTGGAAAACACGAAACAGATCCAAGCACGCCTTTATCACCTGTGTTACACAGGACTTTTCCTCGAAACACTTTGAAGGTAGCGAAGTGGCATAATCATCCCTATTTCCTGCCTCGAAAGACAAAGTTGCTTATCCACACAGGGACCCTGTAGCAGACACAAAACTCCTCAAGTCCCTCTCAAGTGCTGTAACCACTCCTTCAACTGAGATAAAATGATTTACCTGCAGGCCATGCAATAAGGCAATGATAGACACGGGCCAGGATTCAACTCTCACTTGTTTCCACATACTGGGAACTGCTGCCTTCCTTCCAGCCAAATGCTGAGCACCCCCAAGTATCACCAGCCTTCACTGATATTAGCCAGAGCTTGGTCACTCAGCATTCCCCGAGAAGAGGGTGGCCCAGCAGCTTTCCCTATCTAGTAAGCAGAGAAACACAACCAATATCCATGCTGGAAATGTTTCACCTGTGACCCAAAGTCACTTTCACATTTCAGACCCTACACAGCATCAGGTAACAAGAGAAAGCCCAGCCTGAAGGCTGACAAACAGCTTGGGCTTGCACATCTGTGGAGGCTTTCCCTTGTCTCCTGCAAATCCTTCTGCTGGAGGCAGGAGGCACAAACTTGGAAAGAGACCATGTATCGCAGCTGAAGCATGGTAACACTTCATCTACCACACCCTGTGCACAAACACCAATCAGGGGTCTCAAAGCTGAAAAGTTAGTATCTTGACCCAAACTTTAGCACATTATCTTTTCTACAGATCTTACTTTGGGACCACCTCTAACTGCAACCTTGTCTGAAAATCATGGCTTTCTGAGACCAGCAAGCAAAGCCTAGGAGAATGCCTCCTTCCTTGGGAGTTTCCAGTTACAGGGTATAACCAGCAGAGCTTCTGCTGTGCTGCAGCTGACTAGGGGGAGAATTCCCAAATTCTCTGAAATCACAAGCTAGAGGTCTCTGAGCAGCCAACAGGCATTTTCTGGAGGACCTCAGATAAGGTAATCTAGTCTTCTCTGGCCTTAAAACTTAACCGGTGTCACCTTAGAGCTGCTGCCACTAACAGAAATGAGATAAATTGAAAATAAACCTTCTCCTGATCTCATTGAAAGTAACAATTAAAAAAAAATAAATCCATGGGGAATGGTACTGAATTTTCAGTAAAACTTTGGATTAGTTCCTATTGAAGCTGGAATATCTGTCTGTCTCTCATCTTTGTCTATTCCTATCCCCTACAGCAATAGCTCAGCAAATTCTTTCCCCCTCTGCCCTATAACCCTGTGAAAGATGGTATTTGTACGGGACTAGCCAATACACAGCAACCCATCCCGTTCCCTTGATGAGTTCTGGACCAGTAGCTGGCATCAGCAGCTTAGCCCTTCCTCTTCCTCATGAGAGACTCTGCTTTGGTACTAACAGAGAATAGCAAAGTCAATGGCAATTTAGGAAGTTTTTCAAGGCTAAAAAACCCCACCTCATCCCCACCCTGTTCTGATTACATCTCAATGAAGTGATATCCTCTATGGCTACACAGAGGGAAAGGAAGATAATGACTCCAAAATACCTGGTCCACTTGGGCTTTACCCTTCCCCCATACCTCAGCTACAGAATTACTTAGTGTCACAGCACTGGTAATTTTCTGTTCACTTTCTTCTAGCAGAAAGTGCTGCACCCTGCCACCCTCCTGAGTACTTCCTACACACCAGCAAGCCTATGTAGTCCCTTCAAGTACAGTTGGAGGACGGAGTGCTGTCAGAGCTGCCTCACAGCAGCAAACCTGAGAGACCACCAGGATTTTTCTGTGCAGTGTCAATCTGGGTTTTCACTCTGACTTCTTCTAAAGGGCCATCTGCTACTTTCTGCAGTTCCTAAGAACTTCCCAGTTTGTTTGCTTTGTGGACCGTGAAGTGCTCTCGAGTCGTTAGGCAATATCCTGAGGTGCTTATCAGCTGCCTGAAGTCACTTGTGCCACTCTGAATGGGCCCAACCCTTCTGTCCTTGAAACATCACTGACCTGGGATGACTCTCTGGAAGCCAGTGGTGTGATTTATAACAGGGTTATTCCTGAATACCACTCCTCCAAACAAAAGAAGCACCCCCCCTAACTGCATAATCTCAACATGTTCTTGGTCTTTCTGCAGCAGCAAATTCCACAGCGTTGCTCTCTGGGCTGTGCAGGTGTCTCCCCCCTTCTCAGTCATGTAGCAAGAGGAGGGTGAGGCAACATCAGGAAAGCACTTAGCACTTCCACACCCCTTTCACAGGACCTGGAGCAAGCACAGGGAGACCACATCTTGAGGGAGCGTACACTCCTGCTTTGGAGAGCTTTCCTGCCCCTGGTCTTGGCCAACAACAGTCCTCTCCCCACCCAGTTTGTCTCAGAGTCACCCTCTGAGGGGACAAGGTGAAGACAGTGAGATGGACTCTAGCACTGCAGAGTTAGATGGAAAGGGCAGGTTGTTTCCTAACAAGAGGTAGAAGAAGAAAGGAATCTCTCCATCAGCTTGTGCCCCATATCCGAGACAGGGATTCAGGAAAGCACTTCATTCTAAGAACCAGTGGCACATTGAGGAGGTGCTTACCTGGAAGGCCATGGAGTTTACAATAGTCAAGAAGATCCGCAGAGGCAGTGTGGCTTTGTAGGATCGATGGCTC